GGAATGTTGACAGCAGCACGCCAGAAAGTCTTGCCTCTTTTCTCGGTAATACACTCCATACCACCAGCAAGCATATTTGCTGGCTTTTGGATGTAATACATATACATGTATATATGTGTGTATATATATATATGTATATATATATATATTTTTTTTTTTTTTGGTACTGTTTTTCTTGTTCTGCATTCATTAAGAAAATATATATTTCTTATATAGAAGGTTATGCTTCATTTTACACAGGCTACAAAAAAAAACAAAACAAACAAACAAACAAAAAAAAAGCTCTGGTAAGGAATTGGTTAGGATTTAAGATTTTGGGATTCTAATGACACTCTCTTGCTGAGCTGCCAGCTGTGAAACTTTACAGATCTTATAACCCTCATGTACCTGTCTTATCTCACACATTATACTCTGGATTAGGATCTGCCATTCAGGTTTGTGACCTTGTCATCAACAGAGTATCAAAGCACGCCTGTAAATAAAAACATGCAAGTCAAACAAACCTCAGTCAAGTCCAATGGACTATCTTGATGTTAAATCCATTAGAAAAGACATATTTAACCATCAGTATATATTCAAGATCAGTAAATCAGGTTTTGTAGTCACACAACTTATCTTTAAGAAGGGGCAAAGCAGTCCAGATGGAGAATGACATGACTCGGTGGTCTTGGTTATGAAACAGCTTTGTACAGAACAGAACTTTGCTCATTAGTATTAACATGCTAGACGTTGCTTAAGTGGATAGGGAGGAAAGTGGTTAGGGGTGGAAACACCATCAAATTACAGTAATAACTCTGTATTTTGCCACTGTTATGGCCTAGTTTCAACTTCAGGAACTGGATTAGTAATTCTTTCTAGGTGATTTCTGTTTGGGCTCCGGGAGAAAAATTACGCTGCAGAGTAGTTTCTGTCCATTACAAAATTGCTTTCATTTTCACCTAAAATCAAGAGAGCTCAGACAGGAACAAGGTATTTCTTTCCTCACAGCTTGCTTGCAAATCTCATTAAGAATGCCAGGAGGCAATAAACACTAACTTGTTGTCAGATCAATTATGCTAAAGCAGTAGGTTATTATTTGGATTAATTTCCACATGCATTAGAATGACAGCTGGAACCTGTGAAGATGAAGAGAGGCGGCTGTGGGCTGTGTGAACCTCTGTATTTCCATACTCACAAGCTCAGCATTGTGTTTATTTCAGCCAGTGGCTTTTTCTTTGTTTTTCATCTCCACAGGGCGTTTGAACAGACCTGGCTCGGGAACTTTGCCTGACACCCTTAGATGTTTGGCAGAGACCCTCTTCTCCATTGAAAGGCTAGAGGCATAAACACCTCATTTTGTGTTCTCATTAGTAGTAAGCCAAACTTCCCCCCTCAGTGGGGAGAAAAACACACACTTCTAATTCTAACCTCTAGAGAAGAGAGGTCCAGGCTGCCACATCCTTGGAGTGGCAGGAGACAAGAATGGCCAATGGGACACATTTCTGAAGTGTGCTGGGTGAGTGTTGCTGCCCTTTTTGTGTCACAGCCAGTCAGCTGCTAATGGGATTTTTTGAAATAATGCACAAGTTAGCCATCCCACTTGTTTGGCTTCCACAGTCCTCAGAGAAAAGTTAAGCTGTGGGGGAGTGAATGGAGCAACTAGCTGAATAGAGTGATTCAAGATGTAATTCTGTTCTGATGCAAAGGGATCATAATGTTACAAATGATCATAACTATTTATATTCAAATGCAACCCAAGCTAATACAAAGACAGTAGAGTGTAAGAAAACTTTCTGCTGAAACAGTAAAAATTCTGTCATTCCAGAAATGACATAGCTCAGAGATGTCTTAATCCTTTCCCACAGAAGAATATTATGTCATAATGGCATCAGATCTTGACAAACCTAGACATTTATGTTAAATTCCTCATTAGTTTGTTCTTTTCAGAGCACAGAATTACACTTCCATAGCATATAAAGAATATATAAGAATATATTATGCCTTTTCTCCAAATGATGCAGGTACAAGCTTGTTCCATTCTGGGTGGTTCAATCATTAACTTCTTTTAAGAAAGACTCAGCCGCTACTGATGAGTTGAGACATTACTTATTGCCAGTGAAATTCTTTAAAATCTCTGTCACATAAGCAACAGAAAATCTGCCATTGGTGAAATAATAGGTTTTACCTTCCCATGGGTTTTATTTTTGCTTGGAAATGAAAGGTTTAGGGTTATTCTGCCCTTCTCTACTATAACAAGAAATGCCATAGGGTCTTTTTATCTCTTCCTCAAGAAGCTCAGCTTCATTTCACTTTACATACACCTCATAACGTCACTATTCCGAAGCAAGCAGTTCACTTTATGGCTGTGGCATCAACCATGTTGTTGCTACTCAGAATAACCTGGAGAAATGTAGTTACAGCTCAAAGGCTGTATCAATTCTCATTCAAGCTAGCAATTTGCACAGTGCAGAACCAGACTGAGAAAAAAGGAATAAGAAATGAGGAAGTCTGCGATAGAGAGCAGTTCAAACTGTCACATAATCACCCTGCAGTTCTTGATTTAACAATTGTTACAAGTTTCACTATTGCTACACTTAAAAGCACTTAAACTGTGGTTAATCTTTAGTGACTATTTTCACGCGCTATGTCACACTTGCTCAGGAAGTATGTAGGAAACAGCAAGAGAAGTGCTGGGGACGTAAGTATGACAAACTTGAGCCTCAGAAATGCAAGCTGTCCTAAAAAGAGACATTTAAAGTGAGTGCTACTATTCAGGAACACGCATAACCATCTCATTTTTGTACAAAAACGTGGTCTTCTGTGCTGCAGTTGCAACAGTACATAAATGAACAAATAAATAACCAACCAAACAATTTGGTACTGCTTTCAAAGCCCTTTTAGTTATGTAATTACACCAAACTCTTTAATTTGGTTTTCTAAAACTCCGTCAATGGTGAATGGAAATATGGATGATACTCAACTGAAATTCAAGTAAAATTCTAATGTATTGTCTACGATTTATATTGTATTGTGACTTCAATTTGTGAAGTTAGAAATACTGATTTGCTAACTTATTTCTGTAGGAAAAACAAACAAACAAAAAAGCAAACTTCTCTGTGATTTTATCTTAACTGTTTTAAAGAATCCAACAAAAATATCCATTATGTGAAACATGGTAAGTATTTCATTTCTAGCCCACTACAGGTGATTTGTCTGAGAACACACTATCAATTTATACGCAGACCTACTTCATTTCAAATACTAGTATGTTTTCTACTGTTTTGAGGACAAGAACCCCACTTTACATACTCACTGTGTGTGATGAGAGCATATACACAGAACATGTATTTTTCATACATAGCTTTGTCCTCTTAAAAGCTTTCAGATAAAAGGCAGGCAGAAGAAATGAAATGAAACATGGTGACAGTGTGTATGACCAGCACCCTAAATATCTTGTTATTAAGAAGGTCTCCTTATGCTACTTAGAATCCTTTCCTCATTAGCAGCTTAAGTCAGAGAGATGCTTCCTATAAGGAGAGGCAGTTTTGCATTTTCTGCCGGAGTCCATTTATTTGTGACAATTCCTGAACAAAGAAGACACATGTAATTGTAGGGCTAGAGGGTTACTAGGTGGCTCATTTTTCACTACCTGCTATTTTTTTTCCTCTATTTTCCTTGCTAATTCTATGATTTGCATCTCAGCATCCAAGTACATGCCCATTATAGGGAGAAAACTACTCACCCTCTTCTTAATTAACCAGTAGTCCTATAAAGCTTCAGAGGCTGGTGTTATATACTTTAGAAGAATATACATCAATCAGTAGACAAGAGAACAGGCCAGCCCCACACAAAACTAGGAGTAAATCATCAGCAATGCTTTTTATATCACGTGATACTTGAATATGTTTCAGAGATACCAACAAACTTTGACAAAAAGGATTGATAGGAAATAGCGCTAGGAAGCAGCAGCATACAAAAAGGACTCTCCTCACGCTGCAATGAATCCAGATTCTCTGAACACATCCATATATACAGGAATTTTGTTTTCTGGAAACCTGATGAAGTCAACAATGACAAGTTCTATGATAAGCATTTCCCCTTGTGAAGTGAGAATCGTCTTGCATGCCTTACACACATATCAACAGTCCATTATCTAATTAATTACTATCAGTGATGAGTCACACTAAATGAGAATTGATAACACTCGTAAGGACAATTAGTTAACAGGAATCCACCTGTATCAGCAGCTCCACCACATCGTCTTTATTCTTCAGATGACTAATTATTAACATCTATCATTCCCTTCTTCAGTAATGTATTAGGCATCTACCCACAATGCTCAGTAAAATTCCTGAAACCCCTGTCAGTCATCCTATACAGATCACTTAAATATCATCTCAGTATACTGTGTCACGGTGATAGCATTTCCCCTCTTGCTAAGATTAAAAACTCACAATATTCCTTTTAAAAGAAGAAGTACAAACCCTTCAAAATCTCTTTTTAAAAAAATATTTTAAAAATCCAAAGATGATTCCTATTGTGTAACTACCCTGGAGATTGTCTCAGAAAACATAAAGCCTTTTCAGATTGATCAAAGAATGGCTTGCATTGGAAGGGACCTTAAAGATCCAACCCCTCTGCCATGGACAGGGTTTACATCCACCAGATCAGGTTGCACACAGCCTCATCCAACCTGGACACCTGAACACCACCAGGGATGGGGCAGTCACAGCCTTTGTAGGCAGCCTGTGACAGTGCCTCACCAGTCTCTCAGGAAAGAATTTCCTTCTAGAAGTTGATCTTTCATTTGATTTTCTCACCAAAATTTTTTTATCAAAGATCAGTATTTAAAGAGGTTCTGTTTCTAGAGAATTCTCATTTCAACAAGCACTTCACACACACACACACACACACACAAAAAACCCCCTGCAATTCTGAACTATTGCTTAAGTCTTATAAAAATTATATTTCCCTATAATTCCAAATGTATTCTGACTTCTGTCCAAGAATTAACAAGAAAACAAAGATTGCTCTTTTTATTCCCATGTTTGAGGTATCTGAGTAAAACTTCTTTTCTCTGTAACAGTGAACATACATGAACACAGAAGTTTTACAAGCTGACTCACACCACCATTGTATGCTGTTTTAGTTGCAGCAGTCATTTTCAATAGTGCATCTTTTAACCACAATTAAGTCCAACAACCCAACATCAAGAGCTGTCTCCAGAGAGTGTCTCCAGCCACCACTGTAGTTTTGCTCAATCCCAGCAATTTCATCATGGCCTTGTAGCACCAGTCTCGTAACATCTTGTCATACTAGTAGCATCAACTACCCAAGTAAACTCTGAATAGACAATTTGTTACGACATGTAAATATGTTAACTTCAAACTATTTTCTAACACCTTTTGTTTGGTTGCTCTCGTTGCTCAACTTCTCTTCCTCCATACTGATGGATTGTAACAGTGACTTTGACAAGGCAGCCTTTCCCCTTTATTTACTGCCAATTGCACAAGTTTTCCTATCATTTCAGGATTTCCTTTCACTTTTGGACAGAAGGCTAGGTCATTATCAGATTTTTCCAAGTGAAAGAATGTTTCCCATACGTATATCATTCTCCTGAAAACTCACATTTCCCCTTCATAGAGCCCCTCTCTGCAGCTGATGCCAGATTACTTATTAACTACACCCCAGAATCACCATGCATTTGCAGTGTCTGCTGGGGATGTTCCATGTTTACTCTGTCTTTACCAACGTCAACTGGCAGAACAACAGGCAATGTCACACAGAGACAGACGTCACTGCTGACCTGGTGGGAGGACATACCTGTCAATGCAGTGTGACCTTCTGACCATCTTTTAGTCTCTTCTAAACACCACACTACTTCTTTTCTACTGCTAAGCATCTCTTGGTGCCCTGCACTTTAACTAATCGACTCTTCCAAGCCAAGCCAAGCCATCAACATTCCATAAATTTTAAAATGATGAATTTGTTTTTTATTTATTGAAATTGAGTGAAATAATCTGAGTTGATCACAAAACTAGTTGTTTGGCTTGTAGACAACATATTTAAAATAGAGAGGAGAAAGAAGGAGACTGGTTGTTTTGGTCATAAACTCTAGTGCTTTATGATTGCAAATAAGCATAAAATGATACTCAAATAGTTAGTAAATGTTACACTTTGTCTCAGTGAAGAGCTGCAAGTCTTGACATGTTAACAAGAACAGAGAAGACCATGATTTGCAATCGCTTGGTGCTCACGGTTATCATAAAACACTTTGCAAAAATCAATATATGCAGAAAATGCACATAGAAAAATTTCTTTCTTCAAAAGCAAGAGGGGCAGCACAGAAAAGAAACAAGAATTAAACCATGCAGATTACTAGTCCTTAAAGATAATTTAAAAAAGATGTTTGGGATGTTAGTATACAAACATACAAGAAGGTTAGAAAAAATAAATGTGATGTTTTAATGTCCCATGAAAATAAATAAAAGTGAAAGACAAATCTAAATAAAAGATGTTAAATAGCATAACGCTACAGGCCTTATGTGTAGAAACAAGCACATAAGTAGTTAAGGAAAAAAAGTATGAGCTCAATGCTAGATGACTGATTACAAGAATTTTGCTGTTGTGTATTATTAACAATACTAAATACCAATGCTGTCATTTCAATTGAACAGGTTGTGTGTTCCTGACCACTCTATATCTTAGCCCTCCGTATCTTGATAACCAGATTTTCTTTGAAAGTCAGCTACAGTGGAGACATGGTGGCTATCCGTATCCAAAAGAAATTCCAAAAAGTTTCAATATTTCCACATTTTGAAGGAAAAACACAAGTCAAAGTCCCTCACAACTGTCTTGAAGAAGAAGACAGTTTTAGAATATTTTTTTTTTTTTTTTGCTATGCCTGGTACTGCAATTCAGACAGAACACCAAACAAGCTGGTTAATTTTTTAGTGGTCAGTAAAAACTATATTGTTTTCTGTTCTTGCATTAAGCCATTTAATAAACAAGAAGCACTTCTCCTGCATTATTTGTAGACATGGCAGATGACATAAAACAAACCAAACCATACTGAATCCTGAAGTTCATTTCAGTGAATTTCTTCTTAGAGCTTAGTCTACATTGAAATAATCCCTACAAGGAACTGAAAAACAGGAAGACTATATATCCTGCTATGTAATAATACAGCATTTGAAATTGTAACTTATTAAACATAATTCTATACTAGCATCCCTGCATGACACTTAAGTGTTTTTGTATTAGAGGAAACTACATTGTGTCTACATTTGAAAGAAAAGAAAGTGTGAAACTTATATGAAAAATTCTAAAGCTTTAAGCTTTCTTTTTTTTTTTTTTTTCTTTTTTCCATTTCAAAATATTGGTAAAAACAAGGTCACAAATATGAAATGGATATTGATGGCACTTAGGCACTCTTTCCATGGAAAAGAGACAGCTGGAGTAAGAACAATGATTACTTGATATTTCAGTAATGACCTCTGGAAGCTCATTGACAAAAGATGCAAGTTCTTCCCTCAAAATCTACTAAAACTGTTTTTGTTTTTTTTAAATGACAGTACTTTTTATTTTTTTTATTTGAACTACAGATGTCAATGTAGTTTTTCAAATGGCAATACAACAGTTGTGTAATACTGGATTTGTACCAATAACACAGTGAGGAACATCTATACAAGAAATAACTGTACTTAAAGATTCAAACTCTGAGTCTGTTTACAAGAAATTCTGCTCTTATTCCACAACAAGCATCAAAACACACTGTGCCTGCCAATACATGAAGATTTTAAACGTCAGAACAGGTTTTCAGAGCAAAAGTCATAGGAAAGCACCAGTCTATCACAATTGATTGTGTACAGTTTCCTCTAGAAACTCAACTTTTTGGATTTCTGTCCTTTCAAAACTCATACTTTTAAAACTTTCTTCAAGCCTATCAGAATCTTCTTCATTGTCTGTACTACTGAAGTTTGTGTCAAAATCCAGTTCATCCTCCAGTCCTCTCTCCTGGCCGTTTTTAGTAGTCTTATTCTCAGTTCCATCTTGTCCTTTATCAATCCTGCAAAAATCAGTATTAAGTTAGCAACTATTACTTCTGTAATTTATATATAAGTATTTTAAATAAGAATGGGATGAAGGACACAACAGTCTACCTGGGATGGTAGGGGAGGGAGAAGGGAGAAAATAATCTAAAATTACTTTTATGTTGAGTAGACAGTAAGGGAAAAGAGACTAAGAAATAAAAAGAATACATATTTATGTATGATAAAATCATAGAATGGCTTAGGTTGGAAGGAAACCCAAGGATCATCAAGTTTCAACTCCCCTACCACAGGTAGGGCTACCAAGTAGATAAGTACTAGGTCTGGTTGCCCAGAGTCCCACCCAGCCTGGCCTTGAACACCTTCAAGGATGAGGCATCCACAACCTCTCTGGGCAACCTGTTCCAGCATTTCACCACTCTCTCAGTGAAAAACGTCCTTGACACCTAACATAAATCTTCTCTCCTTTAGTTTAAAACCATTTCCCTTGTCCTCTCTCTATCTACCTGTGTAAAAAGTTGACTCCCATTTACAATTTCCCTTTAAATAATGGAAGGCTACAATGAAGTCTTCCTGCAGCCTTCTCTTCCCCAGACCAAACAAGCCTGGCTCCTTCAGCCTGTCTTTATAAAAGAGGTTCTCTGGCCCTCTGATCAGCATCATGGCCCTTCTCTGGACCCTCTCCAACAGCTCCACATTTTCCCTGTGTGCCAGGACTGGAGGTAGGACTCCAGCTGGGGCCTCACGAGAGGAAAGCATCTCCCTTGTCCTGCTGGCCACCCCTCTTCTGATGTAGCCTAGGATACCACTGACCTTCCAGTCTGCAAGCACACACTGCTGGTTCATGCTAAGTTTTTCACCTATCAGGACCCTTAAGTCCTTCTCAGCAGGGCTACTCTCAAAGAGTTCTTCTCCAAGTCCGTATACATAGCTGGGATTACCCCAACTCAAGTGCAAAACTTTCTTTTGTTGAACCTCACTGGGTTCACACAGCCCCACCTTACAAGTTTATCAAGGTCATTCTGGATGGCATCCCTTCCTTCTGTCATATCAACTAGAATCATAGAATCTTAGAATCACAAGATTGGAAAGACCTACAAGATCATCTTGTCTAACTGTCCTCCCACCACCATTACTACCACAAGCTACTAAACCATATCTCCTAGCTCCTCATCCAGATGCCTCTTAAACACTGTCAGGGACAATGACTCCACCACCTCCCTGGGCAGGCCATTTCAGTGTCTGACCACCCTCTGAGAAAAAAAGTTCTTCCTTATGTCTAATCTAAGTCTCCTCTGGTATAACATGCAGCCTCAGGTCATTTGTTGCCTGGGAGAAGAGGTCAAACCCCTCCTCATCACAACCTCCCTTAAGGAAGTTGTAGAGTGCAATGACGTCTCCCTGGACCCTCCTTTTCTAGTTCAGACTAAACAATCCCAGCTCCCTCAGCCGCTCCTCGTAAGACTTGTGCTTCAGATTCTGCACCAGTTTCGTTTTCCAGGGCCTCAATGTCTTTTCTGTAGTGAGGGGCCCAAAACTGAACACAGTACTCAAGGTGTGGCCTCACTAGTGCTGAGTACAGGGGGATAATGGCTCCCGCTGGCCACATTATTTCTAATGCAGGCCAGGATGCTGTGGCCCTCTTGGCCACCTGGGCACACTGTCGGCTCATGTTCAGCCAAGCACCACCCAACACCCCCGGGTCCCTTTCCTCTTCACAGTCATCCAGCCATTCAGCCCCAAGCCTATAATGCTGCAAGGGGTTAACTGGGGCCAAAGTGCAGGATCCGGCACTTGGCCTTGTTGAACCTTATCCCATTCACCTCAGCCCAGCGATCCAGCTTATCTAGATCCCTCTGAAGGGCCTCTCTACCCTCAAGTAGATCGACACTACCTCCCAGCTTGGTGTCATCTGTAAATGTACTGAGGGTACACTCAGTCCCCTCATCTATGTCATCAATAAAGATATTAAACAAGATAGGCCCCAGTACTGACCCCTGGGGGACACCACTTGTAACGAGTCGCCAGCTGGACTTAACTCCATTAACTGCTACCCGTTGGGCATGGCCCTCTAGCCAGTTCCTTCCCCAAAGAAGGTTATACCTATCCAGACCATGGGCAGCCAGTTTCCCCAGGAGAATAATGTGAGAGACCATGCCAAACGCTTTGCTGAAGTCTAGGCAGACTACATCAACAGCCTTCCCCTCATCTACCAGTCATAGAAGGAGATGAGGTTGATCAAGCACGACCTGCCTTTCACAAACCCGTGCTGGCTGGGCCTGATCCCATGCACACGCCATGTGATCTCACCCAAGATGATTTGTTCCACAACTTTCTCTGGTACTGAGGTCAGGCTGACAGGCCTGTAGTTTCCCAGATCCTCCTTACGGCCCTTCTTGTAGATGGGAGTCACATGAGCAAGCCTCCAATCCTCTGGGACCTCTCCAGATAACCAGGAATGCTGGTAGCTGGCCATGAGCAGCTTGGCAATCATCTCCCTCAGCAACCCAGGATGAAGCCCATCGGGTCGCATGGACTTGTGACAGTCCAGATGGAGGAGGAGCTCTCTAACTATCTCCACCTGAATCACCGGGGGTGTATTCTGTACAGCATTCCAGACTTCCAGATTAGGGCGTAAAGTGATCTGCCTTGGTGAAGCTATACTGGCTGTCTCAGATTGCCTGCTTGTCCCTGATGTTCCTTAACATATCTTCCAGGAGGATCTGTTCTATGATCTTCCCAGGCACAGTGTATATATGTATGATTGCATATAAATAGTCTGACTAACTAGTTAACTGCTGGTGAGCTGTCACAGACTAGTAAATTATATAGGATGCTCAATAAACGTGACTTATTTACTAAAAGAATAAAAAAAGAGGAAAGCCTGCTAAAAGCACTGCAGTAACTGTGCTCAGTATCAGCCCATCTTTATTTCTGTTCATGGTAACTGAATCATCAACTGACACACAAAATGCGAACAGTAAATTGGCTTATGCATATTTTACGATGCTCTATATTTAAATCTATTCCAAAGTACTTTACTCCTAAGGAAGAAATGCAATCTTCTCTTTGGTATTAAAATAAAGTGTCTTATTCGAGTAAGACTTATTTGGCCCAGCCTCACTAACATCAATAAGCATTCCACCCTGGTTTCAGCAGAAGAAAATGAAGCTGATGACTTCTACTGATTCCTGTCAGGATTATTCAGAATTTGGCATGAAGTGTAACAGTATTTTGTATGGTTTCCAAACAAGCCTTATTAAAAAGGGAAAAAAGAAGCACAGTACTGAAACTATATAATCTATGAGCTACTTACGGAATTACAATTTCTTTTTCCTTTCCGCATTTGGCACAAACTTCTAATTTACTAGCACATGGTCGACAAATAATATGGTAAGGATCTTTCACAGCTTTCTGGAGGCACTTCACACTGTGAAGAGAAAGAAAACACAATTACTTCTTTCTTTGATAAGCATTTATTAAATATTCTGCATTGAAAAACAACATACACAACACAGAGAGCCTTTAAAAGAGGAACTTCTATAGTCCAGTTTCATTCTTTCATATTAAAACTAGAACTGAAGAAGAAATATTCAATTAAAAAAAATTCTTACTTTAAAGTGACAAAACAAATCTTTCAATTCATTTCAATAAGTTATTTTGCTTTAAAAGCTGCATAAATTATTCATCTGGCTTGCCAATAAAAGAAAATAAAAATACAGTATAAGAAGGTGCATAGATTTTTACAGTCTAAAGACAATACAATGTCTTTTTCTTGAACTTCTCAGAATATTAATAAAACCAGTGCTGGACTTTGCTTTCTACAAATCCATGCCTGCAAGGAACTTTATCCTATACAAAACCATCCTAATTTTCTAGAGGTTTTTGGTTATTGTTTTCAAATATGGTAGAACTCTGTACATCAAATAATTTCTGAAATGCTATGGCTTAATGTTCAGCTGACATTTCTAATGCCTTGTATTTTTGGTGAACAGAACCCAGAATTAAATAACCCCCAGTAGGTAGCTGTCTTAAAATAAGTCATCCTTGTTTGGTTCTTCAGGTACTCAAAATCTATCAGGAAAGCTTTAGTATACAGCATGTAACATTTGATATGTAGACTAACAAGCTAAAGACGAACATCAAGTATATATCAATGTCTTGTAAGACTGTAGCATATCTAGCATGTCTTCTCAGTTGTGTCTATTGCACTATTAATGCAAGCCAGTTTGTCTTTAATAGTTTAATATTTAAATACCTAAAATAAAATTAAAGGCTAAGTTGTGGTTGTACTAAAAATCATAATTTTAAACGAGGTTAAAAAAATATAAATAAATTTATATACATAAGTCTTCAATTTCCATACTCTGTGATGTAAATATTTCAGTTTCTTAACTTGAAAGTCATATTTTTAAAGTATGTAATGTAGTTATTTCATTTTGAAGCTTAACCAATTGAAATTCTTAACAGCCTAGGTCTTTCAGAACACTGGCCCAAGCAGCCAGGATAGAATCCAATGGCTGTAGGAACAAAGAGAAATCACAGCAGAATTACAGAGTTAAGAATGATATGAAGTCTAATCTACTTGTTCAAAACTAAGATGACATACTTAGTCAGAAGCAGCTGTCTTGCAATGCCACTTTTTCTATTCCTCATGCTTCCCTGATTTACAAATCTTTTTGGATGTTTTTTTTTGGTTTTTTGTTTTTTTTTTACCTTGGAGGTGGGTAGAGAGAAGACAAAACAATCAAGCCTGTCAAGCTCCATCTAAATGACATTCCTTCCTTCTGCCATATCAACTACACCATTCAGCTTGGTGTCATCAGAAAACTTGCTGAGGGTGCACTCATTCCCACCATCTATGCCATTGATAAAAAATAGCAGTCCCAACGCAGACACCTGGACAACACCATTCGTGACCAGCCTCCACCTGGACACAGAGCCATTGACCACAACCCTCTGGCTGTGAACATCCAACCAATTATTCATCCACCAAATTGTCCACCTTGATGTTCCTTAATGTATCTTCCAGGAGGATCTGTTCCATGATCTTCCCAGGCACACAAGCGAGGTTTATCAGCCAGTAACACTTCACCTCTAGTTGGTGGTCCAACATCTGATCAGGAATTTATCCTCAACAGACTCCAGTATTACTTGTATCGTGCCACGTTGTTTTCCCAATAGATTTCCAGGTGGCTGAAATCCCCCTATCAGGATAAGATGCTGCAAGCACAATACCTTTTGTAGCTGAAGCAAGGAGGTCTCATCAACAACTTCTTCTTAATAAGGCAGCCTGCAATAAACCCTGACAATCATATGTCCGTTATTGTTTCGGTCCCTGATTTTAATCTACAAGCTCTTAACCTGGTCATGGCTGTTTCTCAGAGTCAGTTGTTTGCAGTCTACCCTCCTCTTAACATAGAGGGAAACTCTATTGCCCCTCCTACCTTGCCTATCCCTTCTAAAAAGATTGTAGCTCTCAATCATAGTATTTCAGTTGTGTGATTGGTCCCATAATGTTTCTAAGACAGCAATTGGGTCAGAGTTTTCTAATTGTACCACAGTTTCCATCTCCTCCTGATTATGCACAAACCATGCTGCGTGCATTGGCGTAGAGTCACTTAAGCTGGCCTACTGACCGCATTACCCTCTCATTTGTCCCAAGTTCCTCTGAGACAAATCTGAGGTTTTCCCCTGCTGCTTCCTAAAGTGAAAGTTTCCAGCTCTTCTCTGTCACACAGCAGCACATCTCCTTCCACCAACAAATTTAGTTTTAAGCTCTGACGATCAGCCCTGCCAGCTTGCTGCCTAGGTATATTCTTTTCCGTCCTGCTTAGTTACATCCCAACCAACATAAACATGTCCAGTTTATACAAATGTGCAACCTAAATCATAGACTCAAAAGACCTTAGTGTGACACCATTCATTCACAAACTCGTCCATTCTCCTGTCTGGTTCCCAATATCCAACGAGGAGGACTGAGGAGAACAATCAATGGTTTACGGGCTGGTTCAGTTCCGTGACTAGCGGGGCAGAGGGATTTCGTGAATTCACACCTCCAGAAAAGGGAAACAGGGGACCTCAAACTAATTAAAAACAGCAGCAATAATCTGAGGAGAAACAAATGAATTTACTAAATATGATATCGGAATGCAAGATAATACACTATAAAACAATATAATTAGAGTTGAAGTTAATAAATCAAATATAATGACAGCGAGTGTCTGAAAGGTGGATAGGCCTCACCTCTCACTGAAGTGAGATGCTCAGTCCGCTTGAGCAGCGCGGAGGAGAGCCTGACATAGAAGGGAAGGTCAGATGACCTACCAAGGCCTTATATCTGTTCCCCCTCAGCAGATATGATAACAATACAGTGAACAGTCTTCTGGGGAATGTAGTTCTCCTTCTCTTCTGGGTACCTGGAACTGGAGCATTAGCATTTTAACTCCCAGTGGACTACATGATGTTATGATGTGGAATACCAATAACAAAAATCATAAAACCATGACAAGAACACTACCTGTGCTTCCACTCCCTTCATCATCTTTCCAAGGGACAAAAAGTCCTTTTTAACATTTTTTAATTTCCTAGTTGCAGCCTTCTGTGAGACAGTTTGAAAGAGCAACAGCAGACAGTAGCCCTCCAGCTTTTTCACACCTCGTAGCCTCTTCTGGATTTCCCAGATGCAGGCTTCTGGAAGACAGAAAACCTCTCAAGTGATTATCAAGGCAGCAAATGGGGGCCTCAGTGCTTCTCAGTGCAAAACCCCTAATCACTAAGATGCTTCGCCTTTTTTTTTTAACTGCACTGGTTCTAACTCAGATTTTTGGTTGGACTATCTTAACGTGGTTGTTCCTCTCCAGTTCTCAGCTGCTGTCCAGACCTTCTTCTCCTTCCATCCCCAGAGCTTCACATCTGTTGCTTGAGGGTATTTCAGGGGCAACAGAAAAGCTTCTTCTTCTGGCCTGAGCAGAAACAAAGGTCCAGTCTCCCTCATTCTGAATTTTTTTTGCCATCTGACTCCTTAAGGCCAGAAGTCTGCTTATCATCTTTCCCTTGCTGCAACTTATGACAGGGTGTTGGTCTGGCTTCTGTTACTGTATGAGACTAAGCATCACAGCCTCTCCAGCTGCTGGATACATCTCTGCCTGGTGTTTTCCTCATGCAACCTGGCCACCAGCTCAAAAAGTTCATCAAGCTGGGCACACTTGCACCCATGAGACGCCACTCTGCACTCAGGCTCAAACTTCTGGGCAGCTCTGTCACTCCTTGGGAAGTCCATCCAAGTGCACACATCAGCCTGGAAAGGTTGTGATCCCTCCTTCATTTAGGCTTCTACATCAGGCCAACTGCTGTGGAGGGTGGTCACCATGTTTCTCAATAGAGTGCTGCTCCCTGCTGTAACCAGATGAGAAGAAAGCAGACCGCCTTGTGCTCTTGCTGTGCTCCTGACCTGTGTGAACTGTGCACCACACCCTTACTGCCATGCCATGCCCATCTGTGTGATCTATTTGTCACCTGTGAAAGTTTTCTTCTTTTTGAATTTCTACGTATTGTAAGCATAACCCAGAACTTTGACTTTGAAAACTAGAGACCTCTACATTAAGTACAAAAATTTTTTCTTGAACACAAAAGGATGAAACTGTTTAAAAACAAAATATTTTTGTGTATGGTTTCATATTAAAAAGTAAAACTTCATGTAAGTGGCAGATACAGTATGAACAGATAATCCTTCTCTTTCAGACTTAAGAAAACCAAAATTAATGACACAATCATTCAGGAAATTATGCATGTGTTCACATAACCTCCCCAAGTGGTTCAGAAGCATATATTTCAGAAGTATGTAATTAAGAACAACATACAAATACAGAAGGAACTAGTGAGACAAAGCTGATTATTTTATGTACCACATCCCAGCTACAATTTCCTTGAGTTTAGAGTTTCATTGCTGCAATGTTAGCTGCATCTGGAGGCACTGATGAAAGAACCTCTACAGATGTACAATTCTGACTTGCTACAAGATCTGAGAAAATCACACTATAACTGCTTCACTTTAACTCTTTTTCTGGGAGGACATACTGACATGTTTTTGGAAACTTACAGGTTCAGAATAATCATTGAGAATATTAAAACATTTCAACAGTGAGGAAGGAAGCAATTGCTTTGCTATGTTTTCTAATATTTAAGATAAAAGCACTAAAGAAATTGAAAATTAATACAGTATTTTGATTATTGCTGCAGACTCCAGACTGAAAAACATGATATACGAGTAGTATAAGCTCACAGCATTTACAAGTTTCCAAAAACAGAATATTCTCCAGAATGTTCACAAACAATACTGCCAGTGATTAAGACAAAGTGATTAAGACAAAGTATCTGTACTCACCATTTTTTAGGTTTTGATAGTAGTTTATACTTGCTGAATTTTACCCGCCACTCCAAGATACCTTTACAATGCTGACACACTCCATCATGAAGTTTAGAATTTATTTTCTAAATAAATAAATAATAATTAGAATCGGAGAAGCTTTCTTATTTTTATGAGTATAATCTTGCTTAGAACACATTTTTACACACCATGTGATTCATACTGTATTTAGAAAATTATCTGATGTTAATATAAGCATTTTATATATTTACCACTAATTATTTTCTTTAGCAGAAAGAGTGGTGAGGTCATCCTCTATTTTGAGGTAGTCTTTAGTATTACTAACATAGTTATAACATTAACATAAATAATAGTTATAATATGAACTATGTTCTTATGTTATTTATGGTATATTGTTATTTTATTATTATCATTATTATTATTATGTCTCTAAAGTAGAAATGAACTCTGAAAAATGCTGTCTTTATTTGGAAAAGATACTTCACAAGACTTAACATTTAGCTTGTTATTGCTCAAGATACTTCTATATTACAGGCATTCTCCAAAAGCAATTTTATGATGTTGGACAACAGTATCAGAGGTGGATGCTGGTGGTATGGCAGCAGAGATTGAACCCTCCCATCAATATTCCATTACATTCTGTTGCTATGGGGCAGATGGCAGTCGAGGGGCAGTCTGACGAAATGGCATCCGACATGGAGTGTGTATGAAGCAAAGGTGTGGAACTGAATTCATCCATTCGGAAAAAAAATAAACCCTCTAGCATCCATCAACATTTGCTGGAGACATCTATGGAGAACAAACAGTGGTTTTGTAGCTGAGAATTTACTCTACCAAATAATGTTTTCGTGCTCTTTGTATCACCACAGTTTCCATGGAAGTAAATAGGAGGCATTACTTTCAGAGCAACTTGTGTACACACTTGAAATTAGTAGTCTCACAAGTCTTTTTGAGACCACAATAAAATGGAATTGGCATATTTGCTGGCAAACCATTCCATGTTTCTTTCACCATAAACTTCCCCTATGAAAATGTAGTACATTTTTGCACTCAAGTATCTACGATAATATAAAAAAAATGACAAAATGATCTTTTAAACTACAATAAATTTACAACATAACAACAAATTTACTGTAAGATCTTCTGTAACTTTTTGTGTTTAGTTTGATTGGCAATATGAACTCTCAATGGTATGGTTTGCACAAGGCAAGTTATTCAGAGATGGTGAACAGGATCAAACCACACTTGCCTTAAAGACCAAGTAATGAATACTGGTTCACTCAACCTACTTTTGTATCTTCTCTAAACAAAAACATCAGCAGTAATTACAATCATTATACAGTTTTACATATGCATAACTATGAAAACAAAATGTTAACTGCAAATAAAAAATAATAAAAAGACTCTGTATTTTGAAATGAAAGATTCAAAATGGTATTCAAAAACTGTAAGTTGGCCAAAAGCACATTTATTGCTTAAAATATCCAAAAGTTCTTTGGGAGAGATTCTGCATTAATCAGTATCTGGCTTTATAATATTCTGTCAGAAATAAGTTTAAAAGTTCACCTATGCATACAGCAGCTACTGAAATAATTTCTTAGTTTTATGACCTTATGGAGCTTCTTACTACTCCAGGAAAGTCTACTTCAATTAGATGGAAGTTTCAATTAGAAGAACAAGTCTAGCTTTAAACACACAGTATCTTAGTCCATGCCTAAAAAGGTATGTAGTATAGGAAATACTACATATGACAGTCTACTATGGGATTTGCTTTGTAGTGTTTCCATTTTTACTCAGCTTCACCTGTTCAGCTGCGGCACTTCTTGTCTGGAAAGTTAAAAGACAGAGAACTTCTTTCAAGTAATTGAATACTGACTTAGCATGTTAAAAGAAATAAAAGACACCATACTCTCCCCTCTTCAAAAAAAAAAAAAAAAAAAAAAAAGATTTTGTAAAATGCTTTAATAAAGAAAGCTCTGACGCCTGCTATGTACTGGCAATGAAGTTTGCAAGGAAACAGTCAGACAACACAGAAACTATCTGAGAGAAGAACATCAGTGCTAAGTTCTCAGTAGATACCTGTGAAAATGTTGCCAATCAAACAGATCAGCTTGATTGTGCTCGTTCTTTCAAAATGCATGCAATCTGAAGATAAGCCTTCTTTTCAGTGCTTAACTCACATAAAGATTCCAAGCAGGATAGCCTTAATAAGCTTCTAAAAATGTGCAAATAAGCCCCAACTTCCCAGTTCTCCCTCTCGCTATCCTTATTTGCATTAATTAGTAATGCAGGAGGGAAAACAGACACAAAGGTCATTTGTATTCACAAGTGTGCTTTACTGTAATCAACTACTTTTGGTATTGTCAAGGCAGAACCCATTAAACTTCAAAACACTGCAAGAGTTCACACTGAAGACAGCTGAAATAACTCCTAAAGAAGCTGCTAAACACCTTATTTCAAAACAAGAGTTAGCTTCCTTGCTGACAAACGCCTAGTTTCCAATAATGTGTCATACTATCAGTGCTGGGGACAGAACCCTGTCCCTACATGACACAGGGATTGGCTCAGCGATGTGTAACACATCTGGAATTTAGGAGGCCATGCTGAAGGCGTGTGTGGCATAAACAGTGCAGAAGAGTAAGCCAGGCTTTACTTTCACCTCTCGTTTGAAGGAAATTAAAAGTCTGTAAAACAGACATCTTATTTCAAATGCTACTGAATGATTTTTATGGTACAGTGAAATGCATATAATTATCATTAATAGCACTTCTTCTCCCTCCCTCCCCCGCCTCCCAAATCTCACATAGCTCCTGAATATACAATAATCTTCCAGTCATTAATTTTTCATTTTATTTTTTATAAAACTAAAAGGCAGATCATGCCAAATTGCAAAGATGTCTTTTCACATTGGTCATACGACAGCACTCAGAATGCTAGGAAATGCCTCTTACAGCAAGACCAAGGACCTGCCACATGGCATACATCCCAGCTTTGTTTTAAACAAGGTCCCGAGTCTTATCTGAATTCATTCTGAAGTCCTCCCTCCAATACTCTTTAATTCACTGTTTTCCCACTGAAAAAGGGCTTCAGTAAAACATGAGTAATACACGAGAAGCTCTAAAAGTAAAGTAATTCCATTTCATATCTATATATAAAGTCAGTCAACATCTACCAGGTACAGAGCAGGTCTGTGTGTTTAGATTGTTTTTACACAGTCAAGTTTCAACTATTCCACTTTCCTGATTCAATCAGTCTACTCCACACATTCAGGACAAAGCTATAAAGTAAGTACATTGACCAAAACACCAAGAGCTTAGACTCTAAAGTCATGAAGAGAAAGAAATTCTGTGTTACTGAATTAAATTTTTACATATCACACTGAGTCACTAAAAGAAGAGATGCCTATCACCCTGACTAAACAAAGCTTCAGTGAGAGTGGCAATGAAACTGTAGATTCCCTAGGGGAAATGAAGAAAAGATATAATTTAAGTACAGAGGACTATGCTGTAAGAATTAAGGTGGCTTCTGCAGAAACAGATTTTTGAGTCACAGTAGGAGTGGTAAGTAAATACAGCAAGTCAGGAGAGCTAAGAGGCCAATTTCATTTCAAACGATGGAGTGCTTATCTGCCATTACAGAGATACAGTTACAGGAAGTATGCAGGGATGCTCCTGCTCCTTCCGCCAATATCAAATGTAATGCTTCTGTACTGTTCTTTTCTCAGATAAGAAATTTAACCAAAGTGCAAAAATGAGACTAAAGATAAAATAGAAGAAACTCAAAATCAAGATAATTCCTAAGATCAGTAACAACACGAACTCCATTCCCAAACTTTCCTACCCCATTAATTTTGAAAATACTTTTGAAATTACTTTCAGTCGTATTACTAACAGTTCTCCAACAGACACGTAGCTGATAAGCAATAAGAGGACTCTAAAATAAGTAGCAAAGAATGTTCTCAAGAATCTAAGAAGATTTAACACCTTACTGAATAGGAAATTTAATACTTTAATAAACCTTAAATGCTCTATCGTAATAGAAGCAAAACACTCTTGGAAGAAACACGCTGTAAATGCTGTGGTATTACTGGTATCAGAAAAAGACACCACATTTGACTATAGCTACTTTACTCATAACTTCATAAGTCCTGATCCAAGGCCCTTGGACTTATCAACAGTCATCTATAGGACTACACATTTAACACAGGAACTAAAAGAAAAATTCAGAATCTGCTCAGAAGTTAGCAATTGGAAGAAAGACAAGATTTTAAGTTTTAACTTCATCCTTCTAACAGGCACACATACAGCACAGTACAATTCTCTTCTTCAGCAGTGTCCTTTATTTTTTACTCAGTTTCAGCACTGCAGGTATGGGGTGGGATGATTAATCATTGGCTCACCATATCTGAATGAGAAACCAACTCTAACATCCTTCTACTAGCCAGCTGATTTAGAAAATCAAAAGAGAAGGATGGACTGATGTAAAGCAAATTAAGCTGGCAGATTTACCCAGTTAAACCTTGATTTGTGTTTGTCTTCTAAGTTTATCTTGCTCAGAAGTAGTACCTGATTTTTAAATTACTATTACTAAAACAAGCTGTTTTTCAAAAGCAAAGTAGACTTGATGAAGCCAACAGAATTGTGCAAAATTAAACATTTGAATCATTTTTCTTATTATTTTTTGATTCATTGAGAAACATGTAAGATTAAGTTCCCCTCACAAACAGGAAGAGAAACTTCCCTTCTATCTCAGCCATAACATGGAAATTAATAGTAAAATAAATTTCTCTGTTGTTTGTTTTTCCCATTAATATTCACTCTTGTATGTGTCTGTTACATTTCACATATTCAGACTTCTTTCCTTTCAACCACTTAATAGTTTGCTTTCATCTAACAGTATAAAAAACCCAACAATATGACCTGAAATAGGATTTCAAACATTTTTATTCCATTCAATTTTTATTTATTTATTTATTTTTTAACTCAGCTTTCACTCAGCTTTCTCACACACAACAACATGGTAATGCTTAATGCTTCTGGTCTGAAATGTTTTTCTAGGTGTGAAAACTATTCAAATTAAATTGTTTCTGTCACAGCATTTTTTTACTTTCATTTCCCTATTTTACTTACTAGCTCTTTCCTCTTCCCCTTTGCCATACTTCCTCCAATATCAGGATAGCTCATTCAATGCTTGCAGTACATCTGCACATTCTCCAAAGAAATAGCAATTATGCAACATTGGCATATATAAACAATTTTGAAGTATACAGTCACAAGACATTCCATGTGCAAATAATATACACACTGTCAGGTCAACTACATCAATAAAACAGCATCCTCACTATGCTCAAGTAACCCAACATTAAAACATTTAACAACCTGCCAAAAGCAGTTCAGAAAGTATTAAAGTAAACACATGTGCCTACACCTACTAACTTAGCTCACAAAATAATTCCTAGCTGAAGCTAGCATTAAAGAAGCAGTCACAAGGAAGATGTAATAATGGGGTTTCAAAGATGCCTCACTGTCTGTCTGGAAGTTTCTAATTATGCGTGCATGCACGTGTGTTTTGATTCACTGCACTGACAGCAGACTTCTACCACACATCAGTGGCTTATTCTACTACAAATCAACATGGCATCAACACCACCCAAAAACTTTCTTGTCATAAGAAACAGGAGATACTGATTGGATCAACAAAGCTGAACACAACATTTCTGAGCGACTGCATTCTCAGAAAAACAAGACTCCACACTATCTCTAGTGCACAACTACAAAGTAGTTAGAATAGAATAGTGTAAACTAACAGACAGAAACTCTGTGATAGAAAATCCTTGTATGTGCTATAGTACATGCCTCACAGACTGAAATCAGTCTCCCCAGCAAACTTCACTTGCTCACATACAGTATATACTGACTTTAAAAATCAACATCTTCCTTTTAAGCCCAATTCCAAAGGGTCTTCTTGATCTCCAAGACATTTAGCCTTTTTTCACATCAGCAAACGGGTTCATAACAACTTCATTCTCCCAGAACGACCATGTATCTCAGAACGTATGAGATTGTGCATATTTGGAAGAACGGATAATGTGCATGTGTGTGTGTGTGTGTCTGTCTATCTTCACTGCAGTCTTAAGTTACAGTCCAAAATATACGTTAGGTTTGCTTCTCTTCTACCTACAGGAAAGACTGTATGGTAAGCCTGAATTCACTTGCAAACTCAGAACAAAAGGAATAGCTAGAAAGCAGACTTTATCCTGCCAAGTTGCCCTATGTTGCAGCAAGACAAACTCCAGCAGTGTTATCTGTCACTTCCATTTGGCTACCAGTGTACCTACATCTTCCTTTCTGAACTTCTAAATCTCAGTCATTGACTCAGCAATTAAGCCTCTTCCCTGTGCCTTTCAACAGTCTTGACCAGTGCCTCAATTAAAACAAATTATCTATACAGCCAGCTGAAGAAGTAGGTAGCATCAGCATAATGGTAAAGCTGAGGTTCAGAGTTAATAACCTCTGAAATTTTGGAAAATCTGGATTATCATCTGGAGTGTAATTAATGAGGGGAAGAAACTGAGAAACAGATCAGTCATTTGGGTGTAAATATGAATCATTTTGTGGCCTACCATCTCATTACAATGGAGTTCTAAATGTTCCTGTTGAATATTGCTTACTTTCATCTCTAGAATTACCTTTATTTCCAGTTTCTACACTGTTTTAAGTAATAATAATAATTAAGAATGTATGTTTATATAACATAATGTATATTCCCCAGCTCAGTGTCACAAGCAGTTGTTCCAGAATATACTAGGTAAAGCAATTACCCACAAACAAAATTCCCAGTTTCAATAACCAACAGTAGTGTGTCTTACTCTGTCCGGCCCTTCCTTCTTCAGTTCATCCTAGCATGCAGGCTTTCCCAGCACTGTCGTAGGCAGCTATCCAAGTATGGGTCAGAGGTAACATGCACTGTTTTCACCTCAACCAGCCTATCCCAAAGAATGCAGGTAGTAGGGCCTGGTCATTAGCAGAAATACAAGCGCCCCTTCAGCATGTTCTACAAGTAATTATGACTATCTTTAAGATTAGAAAATGGATGCCAATTCATTTCAGATAGAAAGTATAAAACTTTCAAAACAAAACAAACAAGAAACAGCAACAAAAAATGATGACTATTATATTAATTTCCTCTGCAGCTACTTCTTCACAGAGAAGATTAGAAATAGACATGAAAATAACTACCTCAGCTTCAACCACAGTACAACCTGAAACTACTGTACTTGATATCCAGCATTGCTAATGCAGCGCACACATGCAGAAAGATATGAATTTTAAGCTAAAAATCATTCTACAGACTAAAGATGGCATTGAGCTGTACTATGTACAACAGTAGCCAAAGACAAGCCACACACTTAAAATAGTAGTGATTTACTGGAGATCCACCCACTCTCAGCAACTCTCAGCATTCTAACCTAATGAGCCACTAAGACACGGAAAGGAGGAATGTACCAGTTCCGTGTCAGTCCTCATGATCAAACTGCCACTATTTCTTCCTTTGTCTCACTACAGCTTAGATGTCTGTGGTCAATGTGATCACTCAGGACCACACGAGTACATAAAAATGACAAGATAAGAGAAACAAAGCTCCTTGCCAACATTCAGTATGTGTGGTATGACATTAGACACCACCTAAATCTTGTCAAATCTCTTTTCAAATTTCTTAAATGGTAGAATCAGGCCTAGTTATCATTATAATAGCCTCTGCGTATTCTTTATTAAAAGAAGACAAAAATTTGAATTTGTATACAAAAGTACACCACAAGAAAACAAACTTTCTTTCCCACTACCCTGTAATAGGAAGCAGCTTCTTCCCTACATTCAGCAATCTCCAAGAACTGGCAGGTACAAAGAGGAAGAAAGCACTTCCTTGAAAAAGAAAGACATAATTCCACATTGAATTCAATTCCTACATTGAATCTTGGCTGTGTTCAAATGATGTTTTTTTTTAAATATATATTTATTTAAGAGCATGGCATTATAGAACCAGTTCTCTCAGATATCAAATATACTAAAAAAAAAAAAAAAAGGAAAAAATACCTAAGTGTATTCTAAAGAGATCATTTCAGTTACAAAACTGAACTCAGTTTCTCTTTAAGGACTTTTCTGATTGACTTGCTCTCCAGGATATTTCATAGGGGTACATACAGGAAAACACATTTATCTATACAGTTGGAGATCACAAAGTGACTCATACAATTAATAATACTGGTGATGCTTGGAGCAGGAAAACAGCCTGTTCAACTTGCATAACCAGTCCTACAAACACTTGGAAAAAAAAAAAAAAGAAAAGAAACCACAACCCTTTGGTGCCAGTGTTTTGACTTACTGGTTTATTCCCCTCCTCTCAATTCTTTTTGACAACCTAGCCAGGTTACTTACAGGAACTCTGACATAACGACAACAGCACTACATATTCCTCCTCCAGAGTGCTCAACTTGTGTTTTGTTTTATTCACATTTCTCAGTTTCATAAGGCGTTCTGTCATAAGACCAAACACTTCACTGCAGTGGTGCTACTGCTCAGCACACTGACTGGTCTTCATCATCACAGCACTATTACGTTGCCACAGCTGCAAGGAGACAGAAGGTGTTCCAGGAATACATTGTGAACCATTTCCTTTGCCTTTCTTGGAAACTAATTAAAAGACAACAGTGGTCTTTTGTAACAATGGTGTGAAAGTATCAGACCACGGCCGATGCGTGCAGCAGAGGCACTGATGAAGCAGCAGGAGGCACCTGTGTGGAGCCATCTCCAAGCACACCTCCGGGTTTAGCCTTAAAGCAAACATGAGTGCCTCCTCAGCTGTCTCAAAAGCGTGACTTGTCGCGTGTGGGGATGATAACTGAAGTGGTCCAAAATCAACTCTGACAACGCTGAAATGCCAGAAATAAGGTGACACGGTCGAGATCTCCAGTGCGAGCACCTTTCCAGCAGCCGCGCTGCTAACCCTGCAGACAGCTCCGCACTCACAGCGCAGAGGACAACGCTTTATTTCAAGCTTTCCTGTCTTACGTGGAAGTGACTCGATGAGCACTTCTCACTGTGGGTTCCAATCGCCGCACGAGGCCTCAGCTCTTGCCGCCCCGCCCCGCCTCTGACCCCGGATGCCTCCCGGGCCTCCCTTCAGCCCACACGCTTCCCGGCGGCGGGCCCGAGGCCAGCCCCGACAGCCGGCCTAGGCCCAGCACTGCGCCTACCTTCAGCCGCGCGCTGGTGTCGTACTTGTCGTTCTTGAAGGCGCGCGCGTTCTGATGGCGCTGGGGCCGCCTGCGCGCCACGTTCCCCTTCTCACAGCTCATTCCCCCGGCAACCGCCGCTGCAGGCCGCGCGTGCCCCGGAACCGCTCCTCCCCCGACTCACTCCTCCCATTGGCGGAAGCAGCCGTCCGTTAAGCTCGCTCGCCAGCGGCGATTCGCCGTCTGGTCACGGCGTCCCGCCCACCCGCTCTAAGGCGGATCCCCTGCGGTCGGAGCCGCGTTGCGGGCCGTGCTCCGATTGGCGCTCGACAGCCGTTGGTCACCGCGCGGCTGCGGCCGGCTCCGCCCCGCTGCCCCTTCGGCCGCCGCGGCAGCCGCCGGGTCAGATACAGCCGCTCGACGGGGCGAAGTCGGCGCCGCTCCCCTAAGCCGTTCGGCGAGAGGCCTCCGCCGGCCGCGCGTCTCCTTCCGAGTGCTGCGCGGGAGGCAGCGGGCACCGCTGAGCCGGCAGCCGCCGCCAAGCCGTTACTCAGCACAACCGACGTCGCCGCGCCCGGCGCTCGGACGGCGGCGGTCGGGAGCGCGCGGGGTCACCGCTGCCCAGCGAGGGGGAGTCGGGAGCCCCGTGCAGGTAGGGGCCGGGGGGCGGCGGGCCGGGCCGGCTGTGGTGGGGGGAGGGCGGGAGAGGGAGGGGCTGCCAGGCAGGTGAGGCGCTCCGGGTGGCTGCGGCGAGGGGCCGGGCGGGCGGCGGCTTCTCCCGTCGCTCCTCCCGCGGGGTGCTGCGGGGCGGCCGCTGCCCCGCTCACGCTGGGGGCGCCTTTGTTCGAGGATGGAGCAGCTGGCCGCTGCCGAGCTGCGCGTCCCCAGGCCCCGCACTCTTAGCGCCTCTGTCAGCGCTGCGAGCTGCCGGGAGCCGGCTGGGGAGAGCGGGTGCTGCGATGAGGCGACTTGCTGCGTTTCCTCGGTTCCTGCTGCTGCCGGCGAGGGCGAAGCCGGCCTTAGCCTTGCTCTCGAGCGGTGATCGCTTAAGTTTAACGCCTTCAGCCCGGAGGCAGCCACTCGAAAACACACGGTTTGCTTGTTTGTAACCAGTGTGTTCTGAACTCAAGTTCTGTTCTCATTATGCCTCCGTACGGTTTGGTTGTTACTGTTGCTTATTTTTTTCTCGAATATAATTGCGTTGGTAGGCTGGTATTTTTTATTGTTTTTGTTTGAGAAGTGCTTGCGGGATTAATAAGCGACTTCACAGAGTATCTTGGATTGTTTTTCATTACTGAATAAACTTCCTCAGTGTTATTTTCTGGACCTGCTGGACGTTCATTCTTAATAGCACTGTTTAGGACGGCTAAACTAATTTAGCTTACTTGTTCACCGGTTTACTTAACGTTCTGTTCCTTTAGGTGTTGAACTGATACATGTTAAATTTGTATTCAAACCCTTCTTTGTGTAACAATGTACACAGGTGTTAACGTTACAGTTTCAGTAACGGTTTGAACTTCAGTCTTCATTGCTTTGCCTTCAGTGGAAGAGAGAGGGAAGTTACATTCAAGTACATTATTTCAGGACTGCATAATGAAAAAATAATTATTCATTAAAAAAAAAAAAAACAGCACACCACAATGTGAATATCTTGACTGTTGCAAAGTTAGGGCACCAATAAGATTTACCAGCTGGCAGTAGTGCTTATGAATTTGACTTTATTCTTTTGAATTGTTCTTACGATGTAAGCAATTTAATCTAAATACATATTTACATTAAATCTGTAGAATTCTAATTGTAAGATTTCTAGATAAGTGTTTGTGTGGGCTGGACTTTTGAGGCTAAGATGCTAATATGTAGTAAAGTACTTCAAGATGTGAATAATTGAAGCTAATCTGATTTACAGAGAAACAAGAACAGGAATAATTGCTTATATGAAAGAACTATGTTTTCATTATCCTAGGAAGAGCAATATAAATATTTAAGGTGTACTTTCAGATTAGGTGGATTTCTTCCCCTCTTCTGTCAGCTTTAATCATAAGGTTAATTGCTGAATTTAACTACTGCCTGTAGGCAGTTTTAAATTTTCCTTTTTGTTTGCTACTTTTTAATTATTGTTGTTATTCATGAGAGTTAGATAAATTTCATAAAATGGTCTCCCCTTTCTTCTAAAGGCTCTTCTACAGAGAGCAGTCTTGTCACTTCAGTCTGTTTTGTTTCTTCATCCTTCTTGGAGCTGTAGTAAAATTCATGCATTACAGTTCCTTCCACAGAATTTTTCTATTGTATCTGTACCATGAAAACACAATATTCTTCATTTCTAAAGGATATTTGCATTTCTCTTACTACATTCTTTTTGTTATTAGTAAATTCATCAGCATTAGGAACTGTGTTTGCAGGGCAGTGCTGTCATCTTTACTGTTATGTTGTTGAAATGTGTTATCTTTGTATCTGGAGATTCTAGTGTTGTGAGGACAGATTTTCATCATGCATATCAAAAGCTGTTAGGTTGTGACCTAGGTGATCTCTGCATATGTTAGTCCCATTACTCACCTATCCTTGTGGTAATTTCTGATGGGAGTTGATTTTATCCTGGTTTTAGTGATAGAATTCACGTGAAGCATACTCAAGCCTTTTTGTTATTGGTTTGGTATTTTTTCAAGCAGTATCACCTACGATACTTGAGAGTTTCGTAAATTATTAGGTTTCAGTTGTACTCTTGATCTCTAGATGGAAAACTTGAACTGCTTTTGTGAAGACTTGGCAATGCTAAATAAAGATTTACTTAATTTTTTTAAAGTCTTATCTTAATTCCTGTGTTGGGAAGTCATTAGGAAATAATGTTGAATGTCTTCCTAACATTTAAAGCAAACTTTAATCACTTCACTGAAGTATCTAAGCCGTATACCTTCTGAGGAAGGATAATGTCTGTTTTAATTGAAGTTACGGCATCATGTGCATATCTAGTAGCCTGAAATGCTGATTCAGTTGTACTTTTAAACAGTGATATCAGAATTACACTGTGCACCCTGGGGATTCTCACATCCTGGTTCCATTCCAGATCCAGAGGTTAAGAACACACTCATGTGAATACAATGAATGACAAACCAGTTCCAGTATAATGAAAACATTGTTTGTGTTTAGTTGGAGGTATCTTCCTGAGAAAGACCAATAGGTGTTCTATGACACGTTTCTTCAGTTAGTGATGCTGGGGATCTAATTTTTTCTTCAGTTTTTCCAAGTAAATACAGCAGCAAGTATTTTCTTCAAAGCAAAGGCTGTTGCTGGCCATGATTCAAATGGAGAATGGCTCAGGAATAAGAAACTGTAGTTTCAGTAAAGATTAAATAGGCATTACATAAAGTCTACGTTACAGTCTGGTACAAGGAGAGAAATGATACTTTATCCATTTTCTTCCACACAAATCATTTGTCATATGTGGCACCAACATGTATTTAGCACATTTAAGCTATGCTGAGGCCCTGTACCTCCTCAGCTGATTATCTGCAATTATTGCAGTAATGTGAATTCCACAGGCCAGCTAAAATTACTACAACAGATAGCAATACTTTGAAATCTTATTTGTAGTGTTGCAAGGCTGGACACAAGAGGCTGTTTGTACCTTAGTTTTGAAGGTACCACTACATTTTTTCAAATGAAATGAAAATGCTTCCCCCCATCATAAAGCACACTGTATTATCTAGCTTTGGCATTCAAATTTTCTGAAGTGAGAAAAAATATTCAATTTAATAGTTTTTATAGAAGTAGAGTTGTGATTGAATACTGAGTCATTGGTGGTGTTTGCAGAACTGAAAAAGCCCCTTGAAGTATTACAACAACTGTTGTCCAAAGACTGTGAATATGAGCTTTCTGACTAAGGTGAAGAAAGTGGTTCCTTTGGTGCTCACAGCTGTGAGAGACATAAAACAGGAAATAAATATTTACCTGATCTTGTGCATAAGATGTTCAAAGCCTTTTGAGTGTCTCTGGACCTCTTCTGTGGTCTTTTCCTCTTGTCTTTACTTGCATGTTGAAAGTAATGTCCAATAATGTCACTTGAAAGGGAGCAGATGAACAATTACAAGTTTAAGTGACTAATTTGCTTATTGCATTAATACATGAGTCTGTTTCCTTAACTGGTAGGTTGTATACTCCAGGTCTGTTCATTAAGAGAACTTACCTTTTCATGGGAGATGATGGCCCCTTTCTGCCATCTCCTGTAACTGGTTATGTTGACAACTCATGCCTAAGAATCTGTGATTTCCCTCTGTTTTGAAGAAAACTAGAGACTTGGGATAAAAACACCTTTTGGGGAGGAAAAAAGGACAACCAACCCATTGTTTTTTGCTCCACAAGGAGCAATAATATTTCAGAAATGCACATCTTGTTTATTAATTAGACTTACTTGCTGTGATTTAGTTCTCAACAAGTGTATTCTATGATTGTGTAATTCCATATGAATGTCACACTGTACCAAGGGAAGAGACCATTCATACAGTCAAAATAAGGCTAACTGTTCAGCCATCTGTATTCAAAAATCCTTACAGCAATGCCCTATAAAACTTTTCCAAAGAAGTTTATACAAGTTAGAGAACAGACTGAAATGTGATTTCAATGTTGCCAGGTATCATAGCTAGAAGTAAGACTTAATTGTTGACTGACACAAGGGAATTGTTGCCTGAAACCACAGGAGAATGTGAACATTAGAAGCTGGCTTTCTGTTGTTATTCCTGTTTTTAAGCTTGACTCTAGCTGTCAAAGCTGGTACATGAAATTGTAGGAGAGTTTCTGTTTGCATGACTGAGTGGAGCATGAGACCTGTAGTGGAGCTGGGTGGAAAAGTTCTTTGAGATAAAACATCAGATGTGTCCACAACAGGGAAGTAAATACTTATGCTAGGTGTGCTGATGTACTTCACAGTTCTTGGCAGATTCTCTCATTCTCCTACCTTCAAGGGAAAAGTACTGTCACAATAAAAATTTCTTTTCCTGTTCCTTCTCAGCCTTGTAAATTAGGAGGACTCAGTGTCTCTTTATCAGGGCGGCAGTGTCTTTTAACTAGCTTGCTTTAGGTCTGTGTCTATTTTGCTCTTTTTCAAACTCCCTCTTCCCTCCCTATTAAGTACTTTGAATTCATAGTATAGGTT